GGGAATGCAAACTAATACATTCCTTTTGAAAAGACGTCTGGAGAACACTTAGAGAACTAAAAATAGAGCTGCCGTTTGACCCTGCAATTCCTTTATTAGGAAGGAATTGACCAGAAGACCAAAAATCACTTACAACAAAGATATTTGTATTTGAATGTTTATTGCAGCTCAATTCATAATTGCTAGGTCATGGAATAAGCCCAAGTGCCCATGGACCCATGAATGGATCAATAAATTGTGGTATATGTACACCATGGAATATTATGCAGCCCTAAAGAAAGATGGAGACTTTACGTCCTTCATGTTCACATGGATGGAGCTGGAAAATGTTCTTCTGAGCAAAGTATCTCAAGAATGGAAGAAAAAGTATCCAATGTACTCAGTCCTATTATGAAACTAATTTCATATGAAACTAATTTCATATGAAAGCTATAACCTAATTATAGCCTAAGAATACAGGAAGGGGGGCGGAGAAGAGGGGTGTGGATGGGTGGAGGGAGGGTGATTGTTGGGATCACCTCTGTGGTTTATCTTACAAAGGTACAAGTGATTCTTTCTAAAAGTAGAATATAAATGTCTTAACACAATAACTAAGAAAATGACATGAAGGCTATGTTAACCAGTTGGATTAAAATATTTCAAATTGTATATGAAAACACCATGATTGCATTAATGTACACAGCTATGATTTAATTAAAAAAAAAAGAAAAGAAAAGTCACTCTTCACATTTCCACACACTGCTTATCCATTATTCTCAATCATGCAGAATATGATTAAGAACACCCAAACAAGCCAAAACAGACCACTGGGGAGATCCATGCCAGGGACAGTTAACCAGTGTATCCTCTGAGATGGACTTGGTTTATCAGGAGATGGCATAGCTCAGGGGCCAGCAAACTTCTGGAATGGGTCAGATAGTATTTTAGACTTTATGGGTCATATGATCTTTGTCACAGTTGCTCAATGCCACAATTTTGATGCAAAAGTAGTGATCAACAATGAAATGGCCATGGCTGTGTTCCAATCAAAATTTATAAAAACAGATGGTGGGCTAGATTTGGTCTACAGGCTAGAGTTTGCCAACCACTAATGGAATCTGAACACTTTGGGAGGCCTGTCTTTCCAGTTCCTCACAGCACTAATCCCCTGGTCCCAAACCTCCACTGATTCCCATAGTGGGGTTTCCTATCTGGTCCCAATAATGACATTAATGAGGGCCACAAACATTTTTTTTCCAAGTGTTTCTTGACAGGCATGAAGAATGCAGGAGGACCTGTCTATTTCAGTAGGTGTCTTTACGGCAGGTGCCTGTAAGGAACAGAATGCGCTCAGATACCACAAGGGAACAGGGTATGAGAAAAGGACATGGATCTAGACAAGAAAGCTGCCAGGAACGCTTTCTCTTTGTCTCCAGGCTGTAGGGCAGTGGCTCTCAACCTTCCTGATGCTGCGATGTATTTTCATTGTTACAAAGGGGTCTCGACCCACAGGTTGAGAACTGCTGCTATAGGGGCTGTGTCTCTGCCTTCCATACCACCTGGTCCCTCCAAAGCACCCCTGCTTCTCTTGGGGCTGGGGGTATCTCTCCGCACTGTGGGGCTTCATCATCCTCTCAACACCTCCCCTTCCCCTTCCACATCAGTCCCAAGTGGTTCTCACAGGGACTCCTGGAGGGCTTCTGCTTCAGCCTCACACACATCTTTTTGATTTCTGTCCTGTGGCTTACTCTCACTGCTCCTATTTTCCAAACACCAAGTAAAGGATTTCAGGAATCTGACTGGACTGTCAGTTCCAACTTCTACCAAGAAGCTGGACTGCTTTGGGCCATGGGACAACTCCCTAGGGTCCAATCAGCCCAGGTTGGAGCCATGTGCTGGCATTTCCCATTCTAGTGTTTGGGTAGGCAGGAGCATGCCCAGGGCGGCGGGGACATTTCCATGAAGTTGAGTGGCAGAAAGAACAGCAGGTATCTTTAGAATCTGAACAAGTCCTAGAATCTCAGAGTAAAGGAAGATCATCCCAAATCATCTGGTCCATATTATGCACCACCCCCCACTGCAACCCCAACCTTCCAGAACTGACAGGTGTCATTTTCCTGCCAGAAGATGAGGCAAAGGAAGACTGGCACATGGGATGGGAAAAGCCATCCATAAACCCCCCTGCAAGTTAAAGCCAGTGTCAAATGCAGCTCTGGAAATGTGGCTGCACTAACTTTTCACCTAAAAGGCACATCTGTTTCCTGTGTGCCTTCACAAAATACTCTGGGATGGAAAAAGAGACTAAATTCTCACATACTCTGCTGTGTTCAAGAACTGAAGATATTCTGAATTCATGTGAGAACTTTACAGTGCTTTTCCCAGCACAGAATGTTGGACTGATGTAAGAAAACTGAAATAGCACTCTAGATTTTTGGTATTTAGGCAAAGATGAACATGGACACACTGCTACTCAGCATTTCGTAATCTTTGGCCAATGCACAGGTTAGGAACAAGGAAGGCTGAACTCCTGCAGGGTTTGAACACCTCTAAATGCAGAAAGATTCCAAATCACCTGAGCAGCATGGTTAACACATTTGGGACAAGCACAAGGAAGTCATCTTTTTAGGGGTGATTGTTAATTTATCTAAAATGGGTAACCAAAAAGCATTCAGAATCAATTTATCATTTTGTTTTTCTAAAGAACAAGAAAATGTTGCCAGAGGCACCTAGGAGGTAGCCACACTTGACTCCAAAACAGATGATGCAATTTCAAGGTCAAGTCCACATGAACATGCAAGTTATTTTCCTTTGAGCAGCAGCAGACAGAGGCTCTTCCATCAGAGCCTGCATCTTCCTAAAGCCAATACCATGCTCCATCATTTCATACCCAAGCTGAGCACAAGAATATCCAATAGGTTCTTAACCCAAGTATGTCTAAAAGTCAGCTGAAAAATGTGCTGACCCTTCACATTTGATACAAGGGAAGTAAAATGTGTAAATTCATGGGACCACCTTAAACAGCCATTTATTATCTAGCTTGATTTTATTTTACTTGAGAGAAGAAAGTGTGGAATAACATTAAGTATCACCAGGCCAGCCGGGGTTTCTTAACCTTGGCAGTGCTGCTGTGTGCCAGGGGTTGTCCTGGGCATCGCAGGACGTGTACACATCCCTACCTCTACTCGTGACATGCCAGTAGTACCACTGACTGGATGCAGCCACCAACGTTGTCTCCAGATAATTACCAAATGTTCCCCAGGGATAGGGAGGTAGGAGATAAAATTACCCACCACTGAGAACTTCTGTGCTAAGTGAAGACAAAACTCTGTTTATCAGACAGACAGTTATTGGAATTAAATCAGTCTCCTAGGAAATAGCCCACTCTCATCACCACTTTCAGACAGTCAGCATCTTGGAGCTGAGGGGTGGTGCCCTGCTTTTCCTTTCCCAACATGGGGTCAGAAGAGCAGTACCAGGAATTATTCACCCTGCACGTCACTTGTGCTCCCAGAGCTACAGAACTTCTAACATCCTTGACTGGGGAGAGATACAGTAATATGAGAACAGAGGTCATGACCATTCTGTTTCCCAGATAGCAGAGGAGAAGACTCACTCAACCAAGTTTCTCCCTGTGCAGGGCCCAGCTCCAGAAAGTTATCCAACCCCTATGAGGCCCTGGCTCTCAGAAGCAAGTACAAGGTGTGAGGGAAGCTGGAATGAGTTGCTTCTGCCATGCAAAGTGAAGGGTTTGCTAGACAGCTGCTGCCTAGAGGAGCGGCACAGCCTTGGTGAGAAGGCCACGTGCTGAGCCACCAGGCCCTTGAACATTCCTGTTTACTGCTTGGAACATCCCACTAAGCCCTGGGCACTTGGCCTGATTACTCCCTGGATCAAAGTTAAATGAAATTACCCAACGAGCTTCTTTCCAGAGAGAGCAAGCTGCACAGACTGACTCACCTTCCAGAAGCTATCCACTTTGCCATACACAAGGGACTGGTTCTGCCTTTTGATCTCATTGATGTGATGGATATCGCTGGAGTTCAGGTGCTGCTCGACCACAAACCCCAGGAAGCTGTTGTCTGGGGTGTGAGCTAAGGGGGAAAGAGAGGGGAGGACGGTGAGGGTTCAGTCAGCTAGAAGAAAAATAATTATAAATGTATTGCAGGCCATCTCACCCAAGTCAATGTTTTCATGTGACCCTGCTCTTCCTTACCCGAAGGGAGAGAGGTCCCTCTCTCCCACACATCCCCAGCAAAGCCTTTGTTCGGGAATAGTTCTTCCCAGGATAGGTTAACCTGGGAAGTCATTAAGCTCAGTTCGCTCCATCCTTATTTCCTCAGAGCAAAGCTACTGTCATCTCTTGGGAGAGATGCCTCTGTCTGGGTCTCTCTGCTGAATGGCCAGGGGTGGAGGGGGCAGAGCTGAATCAGACGTTCTGCATGGGGTGGCCTCACATAGTCTGATCTGACTCCAGCTGTGTTTTACCACTCCGGTAGGTAAAAGAGGATTTGGGGACAAGCAACAGTGCCTCCCACCCCCAGCCTTAACCTTTCACCTTCTCTAAGATTTACTCACTAATAAAAGATGTAATTATGGGCTACATTGAGCAAATGCCTGGAAAGAAAGCAGATAAAAAGGTAAAACTCTCCAGGGATACAAACTACTCCCAAAAACCCAACCACTGCAAAAGAATAGTGTCTATTGGATAGACTACTCTTACAGAGAAAAGTCATTTTGCTCTGGGTTTCCCTCATCATTTGAGTTCTACATCTTCTTTAACACTTGATCATGGGGGAAAGCAACTTCATATTCTCTCCAAATACTTGTATCTTGGGCCTGTAATCTTAAAAGGGGTGCCACCAGGAGGCAGTAAGTAGGAAACACTTCTCTCTTGATTAAGTGGAGACTCTTCCACTTTCATTCTATCCAGAGAAATCTCAGCATTTCAGGGATGGCCCTGCAGAGGACACACATGGCAGATACTAAATGGAGCAAGTACTCTGCTCGGCTCTGACCTGAATAGAATAGCTATAAATAATGCGATGCCAAAGGCCCCTTGGGAATCGAGATATCCTGGAGATTCCGTCAAATCCATGTATTGCAGCTTTGGCCATGGGCATCCCCAGGTGGGTGGTGGGCAAACGGAGGATGCTGGTCCCTTCAGCTTGTCCTGGTTCTTGGGACTGAAACACCCTTTCCTAAGCAGGGAGGTGGCACAGAAGCTCTTCAAGATGGAGTGAAGGGCAGAGGTGGGCGGGCCTGCAGCCCAGGCCTAGCAATTGGACGCCCTGACTCCCCCCTCATCAGTCTGCGTGGTGCGGGGGAACGCAATGAAGAGGGCAGGCTGGCAGGGAGCCCTGAGCTGTGCAGATGCACGAGCTGTATAAGCACTGTGTTGTCACCCTCCGTCTCCCAGGCTTCTGCCTAATGGGGGCGACAGGATGAGGAGATAATAGGGTTGTGGCTGGGGACTTGTGCTCGGTCTGGCCAATCTGTTATTTCATTTCTGTGTTTTTGAACAAGTGCCCAGAGGCAATGGCAATGGTTGCAGTGGCTGAAAAGTAAATTACTGAATAAATTCTACCGCCAGCAAGAGGCAGTGGTTGCTGTGTTTCCCTTCCTGAGCAGCTGAGGGCAGGAGGGGCTTTGAGAAATACAGGAGGTGGGAAGAGGGCCTGTGAGAGGTCCCAGTATCACGATGTTGCTTAAAAATACCTCTTGGTAGAAATTTTTGTTGATTCCATGAGTTTTGAACTAGACTCTGACACTACACTTCGGGATCGTTTTTTCTATTTTCAGAAAATTTATGAGGTGATTAAGGCTCCAGGCTTTAGAGATTTGTTTCCACAATGCAGGTATTTACTTCCTATGGGGCCACTTTAAAAAGTACTTGCAAAATACTCAACGGGTCTTAATTCACACTATAAGGTACTAACGTGTAGTTGAAGATAAAATGACGGTCAAACCCCAAAAAGAAAACAGCACATGTATATACTTATTTTTGTGTCAAAGACTCCTCTAAGCTTCTAACTCAGATAGGGGAGAAACAGGAAGAAATACTCTAGTCAAAAGACTTGAGTAGTGGGCTTCATGGTGTCAGGACCACAATTTGGTTCTAAATCAACGTTGACACTGCATGAAAGAATGGATTACATATCCATGTTCTCCCCAAGCTTCCATCCATATACTTTAACTCCCCTCTCCCCTTGGGAGATGTTTACTTGGGGATCGACAGCCTCTAAGTGCAGTTTGAGGACCTCATAGGCAGTGCTTACAAACAGGACCACTGTGTGTGATGGGCTGAAGCCTGGGTGCAAGCAGACCTCTGCATGTCTCTATTCTCCCAGGCGACTCTAGACTTGCCACAGGACACTGAGCCTTGGCATCAGAAGGGTTTGCTCAGCTGCGCCTTTTCCTAGCAGGTGACTCCAAAGTAACCACAGGCCTGGCATGGCTTGCTTCCAAGGAGCTGGCCACCAGATGGTACCTACTTGGTAGTATCTGCAGAGAATGCCTTGGTCTTATTACGTTGCTTATGTTAAATCAAAGGCCACAAGCTCAGGCTGATGCTTCTCCATATCTGAAATGACCTTTTCAATGAGATTAAACCTCAAAGTAAACGTTGTTTTTTGTTCTGCCTTATTATGGGAACACAGACTTTGGTTGTGTTGTGTTTCAAAGAAAAGGTATTTACATCTCAAGGTCAATCAAAGAAATCCCATCAAAAATGGGATGCAGGAAATCACTCTATCCCAGAAGATAAACAAATGTGACTTTTAAAAAAAGCTGATATTAGAGTTCTGAAAACATGCTAAGTTCGGTGCCAAGTGTGCTAAGTCTTTTTAGCTTCATGACCGACTACCTTATAAAACATTTGTATAGATGAGAAAGAGAGTTACTTAGACTACCCGAGTCTATGTGCTAGCAAATGGCACTGCTGGGATTCAGAGCCCGATTGCCTGCTCCCAGAGCCCAAGCTCCTAAAGCTACTCTCACATACAGCCTGGTAGTTCCAATATTTTATTTTTGGAACCCTTTGAACTAGAATAGTAAACCATGCTTCTAAGAAAAACAGTATTATAATAAAGTAGGCCAAAATGCACATGTGATTAGAACTCCTATTTGATTCTGCAATCTCATTACTAGGGATCTACCCAGAAGAAAAAAAATCCTTTTATCCTAAGGACATTTGCACTACATTGTTTATTAAAGCTCATTTTGCATTTGCCAAGATGTGGAAACAATCTAAATGTCCATCAACCCAGGAATAGATTAACAAGCTATGGCATATGTATACCATGGAATACTATTCAGCCATTAAAAAGATGGATACTTCACATCTTTTGTTATTAACCTGGATGGAGTTGGAACATTTTTTTAATGATTAAATCATAGCTGTGTACATTAATGCAATCATGGGGTACAGTGTGCTGGTTTTATATACCATTTGAAATATTTTCATCAAACTGGTTAACATAGCCTTCACTGCATTTTCTTAGTTATTGTGTTAAGACATTTATATTCTACACTTAGTAAATTTAACATGTACCCTTGTAAAATGCACCAGAGTTGTCATCCCACCAATTACTTTCCCTCCACCCATCCTTCTGCCTTCCCTCCCTCTTTTCTTTCCCCTTCTTCTTGGGCTATATAGTTGGGTTATAGCTTTCATATGAAAGCTATAAATTGGTTTCATAGTAGGACAGAGTACATTGGATACTTTTTTTTTCCATTGTTGAGATACTTCGCTAAGAATATGTTCCAGCTCCATCCATGTAAACATGTAAGAGGTAAATGCTCCATCCTTCTTTAAGGCTGCATAATATTCCATGGTGTACATATACCACAATTTATTAATCTATTTGTGGGTCGATGGGCACTTGGGCTTCTTTCGTGACTTAGCAATTATGAATTGGGCTGCAACAAACGTTTGGAACACTTTCTTCGTAGTAAAGCATCATAAGAATGGGGAAGAATCCAATGTTCTCAATACTAATATGAAGCCAGTAGAGGATCTAATATACAACCACATAAGAGGAAAAAAATCAATTCAAGGTGGGGGGCTGGGGAATGAGGGAGCGGGGAGAGGGGAAGAGGGAGAATGGATGGGTGTGCTCTCACTTAAAGGGCACAAAGTTAGGGTGTATGGCACACCTCTTGGAGGTGAGGCACGATTGTAAAAGGGACTCTACCTAATAAATGCAAACACTGTAACCTAATTCTTTATAACCTCAAATTAACCTGACACAATAAAAAGAAAAAAAAATACACCTGTGAGACTCAGTATATCTACCTGGTGTGACCTTAGCTTTTTGAGTAACTTGTGCCATATGTATGCAGGGTGCACTGACCTTTTTACATGCTATAAACTTCAGAGGATTTGCTAAACATTGACAATGATTTTAAAATGATTTAGGACAAACATCTTTTCTTATTAAGAAAGGCACTATTTTAAGCACTTTGGAAGCACCTATTTAGAAATGATTACAAATCAGCTTGATGTGTTCCCTGAGCAGATTATAGTGATGATTACTTTTAAGAAATAATATTAGCTCAGCTTGAATAATTCATTTGATGACATTTTGGAGCACACTTTCTACAAGCCAGGTTATATGCTACGTATTGATGGATTACAAGACGAAGGTGAGTTTCTTGTTTCATGGAGCTTACCAACTACTTAGTAAAATATCTATCAACCAGTAATCTTTGTTTTAAACACACTTCAAAAATTTTAAACTGAATTGCCTTTTCCTTCAATTGCTATGAGGTCTATTTTTCCTACCAGTAAGTCTCAAGCACCTAGGAGAATGATGTGTATCCCCAACTTACCTGGTAACCTAGGGTAGGAACCAGGCAGGCTCATTCCTCAACCCTTGGTCATGTAGCAAGTCCCAGAGACATTAGCTTCTCAAAACCCCTCAGTTCATTCCCCCCGCCTCTACCCTTCTCAGTTCAGGCCTCATTAGCTCTTGCCAAGGATTTTGCAATAAACAAGTTTTTTATGTTTTTTTTTAATTTTTTTTTTTTTGAGACAGTCTTACTTGGTCACCCTTCGTAGAGTGCTGTGGCATCTTAGCTCACAGCAACCTCA